GGTGAGGGAACAGGTGGAGTCAAAACCTGCTGTTAAATTCAAGGATAGCAGGACTTTGAGATCAGAAAATGTATTTTCATCAAAGTATCTAGGCTGTGGAGGTTGAAGGGTGGACAGCAGCTGCTGTGAAATCATGCCATGCCTCTTTTGCAGAACGATCACTTCACGGCAAAGAGTGAAGAGTAACTTCACTCAGGGACACAAAGGAAAAGCTCACCTGTGAATTCCGCTTTGTGCACCTGAATATCCGACTGCTTCTTGACAGAACAAAAGCAAGGAAGAGGGTCAAGGAACGTCACATGGGCTGCTGTTCTTGGCCTTTCTACCCACACCTTCACATTTCCATCTAAATCATGTCTCACAACACCCGCCTTGACTTGTATCACACTAAGGTTGTGCAGACCAGCCTTTCCCTAACTCGGCACCCTCCAGAGGTGTTGGACTACAACGCACATAATCACATGTCCAGCACAGGGTGGAAATTGTACCCCCACACATCTGCACGAAAGCACCAGGTTGCAGAAAGCTGGTGTGGCGAGACATCATTTCACCCTGTTAAATATTACAGGCGCTTAACAGAGGAATACTATCCATTGCCGTACTTTCAAAGCTGAGAGCTGAATGGTAAACAAGACCTTTGAGAAGGGAAAGCAGCAAATAGAAAATAGCATATTCTGTCATTATATAACGTGTCTATAATGTCTTCTGCATTGCATTTCTGCATTTCCCTGTATTCTAAAGGATTGGGTGTATTTTCTAGAATGAGTGCCAGTGCCTCTTGCCCTTACTATTAACTTTCACTATGATATTGTCTAACCTATTCACTCCCGCTGGCAAAATCCAAGACCAATTATAACCTGCAATCTACTCCTGTCATTGCCAGAATTGTTATGTTACTCTTGCTGTGTTCATGTCACAGTTTGGTTGTCCCCAACAATGGCCATTTCTGTACAGAAGAGTGTTTGCCCATGTGTGGTGGGGAGCAGAAGGAGCAGTAAGGGAGAGGAGAGCAATAGCCATGCTGGGCAACAGAGGGGCAGTGTGGACCAGACACTCAGCTGGGGAACAGGAAGAGCAGAAGCAAGTTCTTTCCTAGACAAAGTCTCCATCCCTTGGCCTAACTCCAAATCTGAAGCCAGAATCCTGTCCATATCTGTCTGAACCAGGGATCTGATCAGTCTCCACAGCATTTCTATCCAGTGCCACCTAGTGCCACCTCAAAATATTTGGCTACATTTTCACTCTTTTCAAACTGTAAGGGAAAAAAAATCCCATAATGTAATGCATTCTGGCTCTTTCACTTACGATTTTGCAAATAATTAGATTTCCATGGGATCCTTTGCCTGAGCACATGCATTTTCACTGTGTGCAAATACCTTCAGGGGTGCCTTCCAGCGGTCTGCTTCTGCAAGTTCATCTCCACCACCCAGAGGACTTTCTCAGGGGTTGTCCCTAACCTGTGGAATAGCCTGCCAGGAAAGATGCCTTGGCATTGATATTCCAGAGTACTACCTTCAAGAGGGAGTTAAAGACAGGTCTCTTCTGACAGGGCTTCCCAGATCAGTTTTATTTAATATGCTTCATTTTAGTATAAATTTGAATTATTGTTCATCTTAATCTCTTGTAAACTGCCCAGAGCCTATGGGAATGGAGTGGCTTATAACAATCAAAATAAATAGACAAATAACTGTTTTTCATAAATCCTTCCTGTTGGAAGGTGACAGTTTATTTATTATTTGATTTTGATGTTTGCATGCCGCCGCCACCGCCCCCCCCCCCCCAAATGGAGTCCCCATCCTACTGTGCAGCTTGACTAATTTGGAGAAGCTCAGTTTGCAAGGCAAAATACAATGTCAGAGAAGAGAGTGGTGCTTATTAATACAGACACTAACCACCCCTGAAAAGGGATGCTTTATTCCTCTATGTCCCTGGGACTTTACAAAGTGTTGTTATTTTTTTACTATATGAATGCAAATTTACATGACAAAAATAACCCCTTGAAGGAACGTTCTATGATAGAACGTTGATGCAGTCACTGCATGGCCTATATTTATTCAGGAAGGGAAAAGATGCAGCCTTTTGTATGAAAAGTAGTTTAAAGAAAGCCCCTGTTTGTCTTAGACTTCAAAGGTAGTAATTTTAAGGCATAATTCAGGCCTAAATGGGCAGCTGTGGTAGTTTAATTGCCAAATGTTTTGCTTAGTTATTCTTGTAGGGAATCATGATTCTGCACAGCATGTCGTAAGAGCTGGTAAATTTCAAACACAGTTAAAACCTGGGGAATTAAGTGCTTTTTATTTGTACACTGCTCCTCTGTGTGTGTTCATGGACACACACTGACGCTGTCCCATCCGCATGCATTCCAGACAAGTCTGCGCAGGGCTTGCTAGAATGCCGTCGCTAATGACAAGCACCACTGTAGCCCATCTGGTGACGATTCTGTTGCTCCGAACACGCTTTCACCTGAGCTCCTGCAGACAGCTGCCGCCTTGGACAGCTGCCGAAACGTGGTGCGAAGGGGCTTTGCCCATTTGGCATCGGTCCAGCAGCCATCTGGATGGCTGAGCTGCTTATCCAACTTCCTTTCATCCTCAGAAAGAGGGGATCATGCTAGTGCAGTGGTTGAGCTTGTCCCAGTGGGTGGCAGCTCAACGGCAAGTCTCAAGGCCCTACATGCAGATTCCTAGGAGAGCAGAGTCTTGTGGTATGTGCTACAACTTGCTGACTAGGTCAGCTTCCCTGAAGTTGCTTCTGCAATCTGAGAAGGCCCAGTTGCTTGGAAAGGGTTGGTCTTTCATGAATGTGCCTTGTGAAAGCAAAGGGGGGTCCCATTACCAACTGGTACAATTACTGCAGGGTTGAGCAGCTCAACTGTAGTGAAGGCTGGAGGGCATCCCACCCATCCTCTATGGGCCAAATGATACTGGGCCCATGGCCATGCCTCATGGCATCATTTGGTTCCTGGCTGATGCCCTGTGAAGGAATCCAGGAAGGTTCTGCAGGCCAGATGGGGAACCTTTGTAGCAGCACCAGCAAATGCAGGTGCATCCCTGAAGTGGGAAGACAGGCATGCACTGTGCCATTACAGTGTCCCTGTCGCTGCAGCACGTGTCTTCTTCTGCAGCCCCTTTGCAGCCACCTTGACTGCCCACCCACCACTGTGGCACCATAGCTCCCATCCTGCAACTGCGGCCGCCTCTCGCTCTGAGTGCACAGTGATCAGGCAAGCTACCTGAAAAGCCATGGCAGCCAGAAACATGGCCATTTCAGGTGTCTAGAAGGCCAGCCAGGCCTAAATACTTGGCTCAGAGGGACCCTTCCTCAGAAACTTAAGCAGAATGACACGCCTTTCTTCTGTAAATGCATGCACAACTTGGTTTCAAGGACATTTTACTACCACAAGATACATTACAAATTACGTCCTTTTTTTTATATTTTGGTCCATGAAGGTTAAAATAGCAAGTGCTATTACCTATGGGATATGGCAGCAAACCAGTTACCTCATCCATGTTAACTAAGGTATATTCTGACATCATAGGAGTTAACCATAGTAACATAATATCCCTAAAGGGTTTATAAGAAAAAGCGGTGGAAGCTGTGCTACACAGTAAACAAGATAAGTACATAGAGTTCTTTATCTCTGGGATGTAATTCAATGTAAATTCCACCAATGATTCAACAAGAGACGATTGCTTGGGAATGCTGAGATTCAGAAATCCTCCTTAAAGCAGAGTGTTTTCTGACTTCCTTGTCTGCTCTTGCATCATTTGAATTGCAGCACACATCACTTCAACAGGACCTCTTCTCTCCTGTGAAGGACTTGGGCTGGATCCGAGTAGTGATAATTTAGTGCATCTACCCCATTGGGTTAGATTGTTTATAGAAGGTACTTGATCTGTATTCTATTCTCTCACTACAAACTCTTTCCATTGGAATCCCCATGGCCCTCTTTTGTACAGAAGCATGATAAACCAATTAGCACAAGCACAGAAGGCAAGGCCTTGATGCGGAACTTTCCATAGAAATCATTGTGAGGGTTTCTATTAGTCAGTGGTTCATTCTGCCTGCTTCCTTTTTGCCTGGAGTTCTTTGTTTAGTTCAATGGAGTACTGCAGAGCGCAGAAACACTACATGATAGGCCTTTTGTAGTTTCCTCCTGTTTTCATCTCGTGGGTATCCTAAACCTAGGGGAGATTACGCTAGGCATTTTTTTCTGGCCTTGTAATGCCTGACTCACTGGTGTGTCGCATAGTACTCGGTCCAACCCATCCCCTTTGTGATGCTTCTGCCATTATATCTCAGATTTCTGCAGCCTAGTTATAGCATTACTTTTTATACATTGCATCTTTCCCTACGGTATATCATTTAGTGTGTACAAAACTTACAGTACTGCTCTTGGAGAGAGCAGTAGTGGCTTCCATGGGCCAGTGGGCTGGGTGAGACACCCTTTGCAAAACGAGGTGTCTTATCAGGCTTTCGCAAGACAGAAACAACACTGAGGAAAAGATAAGCCCGGTCTTTCGTTGCCTCCTGGCCTCCTTTTCCGTACCCTATTGGCTTCTCTCTCTCACTCACTGGCTGGTTTTACCACTGAACTGGAGAGGAAAGGCAAGGCTGCTTCTCCTAACATCAAAAATTGTTCGCAACTTTCTCTAACATACACCTTTTTGACTGGGGAACTGTGTTGCAAAATTCAGAAGGTGTACAGCCCAAAGGAAAACCATGCTCTGATTGGCATATTAGTCAGAAAAGTGTGAATTAAGTCTGCTTACTTAAATACACAGGGCAAACTACATTTCCCCCCATTCCTATTGCTAGGCTAGGCACCTGTAACTCTTAAACAGCTTGAAACTAGTTTAAACTTGTGTTACGATAATAGGATTCTAGTGAAGAAATAGGCTATATTTTGGAATGTTTGCCAGACTTAAAGGACTTTATGGGAACAAATGTGTGGGTCTCCCTTATAATTCCTTTTTTTACAAACCTGGTTTGATACCTACCCTGTCAGTTTTCCCTTCGGTCTGATTACTGGTGTGGCTGCGCACATCGTGGTCATCTTCAAAATCTGACACATCTTCTAATTCTTCTGGTGTCTGTGAAAAGAAAAGAACATGGCAGTACTTTTGGGGATCAGCTTGGTTCAGTTTGGAAAGTCCTGGGGCTACTGAGTTAGTTCTAACACCTTTGCCAGTAAGAGTCCACTAGCTTAGGACTAAAACCTGGAATTGCAACATGATTGGAAGATGTCAAAGACCTATACCTGTTCACCTGTGTGTGGAGTGCATCCATTCAGATTTTAAAATCCAGAACATAACTAATTCTCTGTTTCACCCTACATATTCAGGATAGCCAACTTACTTTTGTGTAGCATATGATGGCATCACTTCAGGCAAACACGAACATTTGGGTGTTCCAGAATAAGCATGTGGATGGTTTTCCTTATATCCTTTTCTATGCCCTGCACTTCCTAGAAAATGTTTGATTTAAGGTCACACAAATCTTATATTACATTTGAAGATGAAGAAGTCAAATTTCTAATTTTTCAAACACAAATTGAACCAATTCAGTACTGCAGGTGAACAAATTGATTTTTTTAAAAAAGCTTCTCTCTCCATGCATAACATTCAATTTTGATGAATTGTAACACAGCCTTCCTTTTTTTCTTACCTCCTGAAATGCCATCCAGCACCCCCTAGTGGTGAGGGCACCCACGGTTGGGAACCCCTGCCTGGTACGGATTTAACAGTTGTCATCTTTCCTGATTTTCTTGCTCGTTATATGTGTACCAATTGCACATTAATTCCCTTTTGACAGGACACACTATTACATCCTTATGCAATTACAATATATTTCATAATTCTAAATACAAATTTCATACAAGGTAACATATGAGGCCTGGTATATGGAGAACTGTTTCATCACATTCCACTAGTAATATATTATCCAACCTAGTATCTTATGTAGAACCTGGTGGAGGCTCATAAAAGTTCCTGGATGAAGGCAGGGTTGTACCAAGTTAATTGTTATAATTTATTATTAATTTGCTTTTATTCTGTTCTTGCTTACAAAGCAGCCAGGGCAGTTAACAACCTAAATAAAACAAAGTACACAATATAAAACCATTAAAATCATGACTCTAAAATCACATATAATAAAATACAATTAAATCATCAGCACAATCAATAATCAAAAATAAACAAACCACTGGCCTATACCTGCAAAATTTGCACTAATTAGGTCTTCAACTGGTGCCTCAACAACAACAGCAAGGGGTCAGCCAAATCAAAGCTTGAACAGAGATCTGTAGCTGGTATACTAACATCTTTACTGTGTGTTTTATGGATTGTTGTAGACCACCCAGGGAACTCTGGCGGTGGGGCAGAATAGAAATAAAATGCATCATCATGCTCATCATCTGTGGTGGGCCCATGGGTCATGTTCCTTGAGGACACCAGAAGCAAAACCTCCTTGAATGAACTCAATCCTATGTTGAAGCTATTGGGGACAGTGGCCCCGCAAACACTAGGGGTCTGAGCTGCTCAGGGCTTTGTACCGCAGTGCCAATATTCTGAACTGGCCCTGATCGCACGTTGGCAGCCAGTGCGAGACTGGTAAGAGAGATGCAGTGAGGGGTGAGCCCATCAGCAAATGGGGAGTAGCCATTTTTCCCGCTGCGACTTCTAGACCATCTTCAAGGAAGCTCTGGCCAAGGCGCTCTTTGGGGAGGGAGCACTCCGATGAGTCACAGTCCTGACCTGTCAACAGCCTGCTCTGTGGAAGGGAAAACAGGCAAAATAGCATGCCCACATTGCTCCTTGTACTCTCCTTCCCATGGCCTTCTCTGCTGTTGACAGGTGAAAATCCTTCTTCTTTATTCACCTCCACCAAGCGTCCTGAACACCCTGTCTCTGGTATCTTGTGTGGATACTATGAGCATTTGACCACTAGGCATGGGACAGGTGACTCAAAAAGAGGCCACACAATTTCAAATCAGTACAATTTTTACTGGAAAAAAGGGCAATAGGAAAAAGAATAAAATCTGAATGGATATATACACTTGCATAAGCCATATGAACAACCAGGGATCAGTGCAGTCAATTATCCTAATTGGACTCCGTCCCTATTTAATCTAGGACCCTTATTCAAACAATAATAGTGAGTGGTCTAGCTCCCTCGGTCATGTGCAGCATCCTAGAAAGTCCTCCTTTCTTCTGGAACTCTGGGTCTCCTTCCTTTCCCTCCCTCAGTCTTTGGCTAATAGCATTTTTAAAATAAATATATTTATTTTATTCTCCCCTGTTCCAATAAATCAGAAGAGCAGTTTATTGTTCATTTCTGCAAACTAAGTTTTTGTTTCCTGAACTGTCACCTTTTCTTTCACATACTCATACCTTCTTTTGAACTGCATAACCTTTTGATCCTCTGAGCATAACTTTCAGACTTCTGCATTCTAACTGAAATGCCAGCCTCTGAATTATTATTAACCCTTTGGCTGAAACTGACTACCCCACACATGCATGCTTCCCCAGAGAGAGAGAAAGAGAGGGAGAGGGGGGGAGAGAGAGTTAGCCCCATGATGCCAAGAAACCAAACAAATACAGTCATGGAGCATATATTGTAAGCTACCCAGAGACAATTGGACTGTATAAGGCGGGATAAAATATTCTAAATAAATAAATATTAAATAAATGCTTTTGTCCCTCATTTGATCCAATGGTCAACACCACCTTGAAGGATCCCACCTGCAGCTGTTTTCCAGACAGAGACACTTCCTTCTTGAAAAAAAAATGTAAAAGGAAGGTGGAGATGGATGGACACCACGTGCACGTACAGAGTACATTCTGCTGTAGGCTTCTGGGCCCCAGCATTTATTCAACCATCCTGCATGTTGATGCTGAACCTGGATGTGGGTTTATAAAACCTTCCCTGTATCCAATCCCCCACCACTGTCTTTCTCACATACTAAGTCATCCATTCACTTATTCATTCAGGAACTCACTAGTCGCTGAAATGCCAGATTCACACTCAGCCAGGCCCCAGTCCAATCATCCATTTCATGATCCCCCTTCGGTGCTTACTCCACAGGGACCCACCTACTCCTTACAGAGCCTCTCTCTGGACCAGCAGTCCTCCCACAAGTGGAGAACTGTGAGCAAAGCTGAGCTGAGATTACCTAAGGAAAAGCTCTGGCTGGACTGAGCCTGCCCAGCTTACCAGTTGACTAACAATTCAAACTGCTCTCTTTGATACTAAAACTGCTTTCACCAACAACCCCATCTATTACTAAAACTCACATGCTGCAATTTTGGGGGAAAACAAAGAAAGGCCTCCAAACATTCCAGAAGACCTCAATTACTGCAGTTAGATTTACACTCAAGTTAGTGCACTTATACACATGAGCTTTGAACATGCACCTGGTCTTTTAGCCCTTTCCTTGTTGCTCTAATTCTGGAGTAAAGTTTGCAGAAACAGGTGGTTCTTTCAATTCCACACTCTATTATTTGATTTAATAGTTCATTTGCCTCCCTGTGACCATAGCAAGTACCCTAGACAATTATCCAAGCTTGACTTTGCAGATATAGATTTTAGTTAAATTCTTTATTGCTTCATGTTAATCACCTGTTGTTTGATACAGCCAATTAGGCAACCCCACTCTCTCACTCTCTTCCTCCCTCCTGGAATTAAAAGCACCTGCATTTTCCAGGAAAAAACATCCCACACTTTCTGATTAGAACTCAAATTTCAGACAATGAGAGAGAGGTGGGTGCACCCATAGTCATTTATTCATTGGTGCATGTTGAGTTCTGAGTTACAAAAACAACTACATGCACATGGAAAACAGATGGCTGAAATTTGCTCAAACACTTTAAAGATGTATATACATATATGGAGTGACTGCTCATAAAGAATTGCATGTGCAATATTTTGAGCTAACTAGGAATTTAGTTTGACTACAAAGCACAACTGCTCTGTGCTTTGACTTATAAATATGAGAGACGAGCCAGCATAACATGTGCACTCACAACAGCAATAAAACGGGTGCCTAGGATAACCAAGCCGAGCTCATATTTGTTTGCAAAGCACATCTCTCACAATTTTCTTATACTCTGTAAAAAATGAACACATTTTAGAACCCCCTTCATTGCTTGGGAAAATATGCCCAGATGTTTCAACTGCAGAAATAAGCTAGTGTCTTGGGGAAAAAGTGATTCCTTATTTATAACGCCACTTGAAAAAAAGCCAAGTCATGACTTTTATGACAGTCAATTCTGGATAGCTCTACTGCACCTAGACCTTTGCGTGACATCTACTGAAACTTTAGCCCCAAAACGATAGTGCTCAGTCAAGGTGCATTGTGAAATAGTGAATGAGCCCCACAACCACTTCTTTCTTGATTCTCAACCACCTCGTTTTTTCTTTAGTGTGGAAACAGTCAACAAAAGCTCTTGGCATCCACCATGCATATGCTTAGGGCTCCAACCCTTATTACACGCACATAAACCTCCACATGCAGAGGCCTGCATGCATCTCGTGCCCTGAACAAGGGACAGCGGTAGTGATTCCCATGCCTTACAGCCTGCTTTTATTTAGACAACTGTTTTCATCATCTAGATAAAGCCCTGGCCTAGGGAAGGGAGGAGGTGGAGTCCTGAGTCCTCTGCTGCAGCTGCCTCCCCTTTCTTCGTCCCAACAGTGTGGGAGCCAGCCGACACAGGTCTTTCTGTCCCAGGTGCAAGAAAGGTGGAGCAGGGCCTTGGGAGTCACAGCTACAAGACTGCAGGATCTCAGAGCCAGGACTCTGAATCATTGGATCCCTACACTGGGTGGCCATGGGCTTGCAGCCGTTGCCTCCGTCTTCTCTAGGCTACATGGTCCCCGTGTGTCTCTGTGTTTATATGGAAAATGTACATAGAGTACATGGAATATAGCTCAACCCATCCAGCAGCCCTTCTCAGCCTTGGTGGGACATGATCGGGGTGTGGGTAAGCGTCTGCGCCAAAGATGGTGCAGAGATTGCCACTTCCATCAGTATTTTCGAACAAAAAATGGATCCAACCGTACATTTTTACATCCAAAGTTTACAGTCTAGGCC